AGCCTCATGAATATGTATGTATGCCCAGTAACTATATAAGGATGACTTGTGTAGCAATTGGGGGACACACGTTAGGAGGAGCTATGCCCCGTGTCTCCTGGCGCCGCAATAAAGAATACCTGCTTGTCATCTTGAAAACCTTGTTGGCAAGTTTGTTCCTGGAGTTTTCTCCTAATCAACACTCAATCCCACTGTCCACGTTGCTGACAAAGATGTTGAACAAGACCGGTCCCAACACCGATCCTTGAGGGACACCACTCGTTACTCATCTCCAGCTGGACATCATTGTGGTCACAACTCTTTGCGTGCAGCCATCCAGCCAGTTCTTTATCCACCGAGTGGTCCACCTATCAAATTGATGTCTCTCCAATTAGGGACAAGGATGTTGTGTGGGACAGTGTCAAATCCTTTGCACAAGTCCAGGTAGATGACGTCAATTGCTCTACCCCTGTTCATCAGTTCTGTCACCCCATCATAGAAGGCCACCAAACTGGTCAGGCAGGATTTCCCCTTAGTGAAGCCATGCTGGCTGTCACCAAGCACCCTCTTGTTTTTCATGTGCCTTAGCATGCCTTCCAGGAGAATCTGCTCCAAGATTTTGCCAGGCACAGAGGTGAGACTGACTGGTCTATAGTTCCCTGGATCATCCATTTTCCCCTTCTTGAAAATGGGGGTTATATTTCCCTTTTTCCAGTCATCGGGAACTTTGCCTGACTGCCATAATTTTTTAAATATGATGAACAGCTGAGGCTGGCTATACCCCAACTGAAAAAGAGATACTGTCAGCTTTTGAAGGGGTTTGAGCTGCTTTGGAAGTGATTGGCACTGATGCACAGCTCCTGGCACCCCGGTTGCCTGTGCTGGATGCTCAAAGGCAGGGTCTCCTCTACGTATCATGCATCCGATTTTCAAATACGATGGACATGTCCCTCAAGAGTCCATCCAAGTTGGCCTTGAACACTGTCAGGGATCGGGCATTCACTACTTCTTTGGAAAGTTAGAAAGGCTATGAGTCTTGAAAAACAAGGCTAGTTTTCTTTTCTTGCTCTGGGGCTGACTACAGTCACCTGACCAAAAGCCATTGGGGTTTAGGGTGTTGTCTGCCAATTGGTTGAGTTCCCAGGATTTGTGTCCTTTCCTTCCCGGTGCTTATGGACTGACAGAGTTTTTGCTGTGTGCCTGCATCCTGGTAGCTGTGTGCAGTGATCCCTGGGAAACCGTAAACCTTGTTTGCCCTGATCGTGAAGGTAATGATATTTGTCAACTCCTATAAAAGCATTTCCATGCTTTACGTGTTTCTCGTGTTGGTAAGAAATTACAGGTAGAAAATAACTTAGTTGATGTCAGAGATTAATGTATGTTTTCTGCCAGTCAGGGTTACTTGAGATGGTAGTTCTTGTCGACTAAGAAGTTTAATTTTTCAGAATATAATTTTGGCTCTTGTATTATTCTGAAGAGTTTTATGTCGAAGATAAAAATGAAACCATATTTTAAAAGACCTCACACTTTATTTTATGCATTTTCTCTTTATGGATGGATTTGAATATGTTATCCAGTTATCATTCTCACAGCAATTTTAATAGATGTGGTATATTAATTGAGAGTGCTGGAGATATAGTGGAAGTCAGAATTTAATTTCTCAGGTTGAGATTTGTTACTGAAATTCTAGTAGTCTTTATATTGAATCTCTGGTATGTGGAGTCCAATTTTTAGTGTTTTTGAATGGATATGTTTTGTAAATGCTAAACATACTCTAGTGTTGTAGGTATAATCCATCTTTGGTTTGGGATATTGTAAAATGAATCAATTCCCAGTTAAAAGTCCATAGACTACTATATTGATGCCTGTCTTAAAATGCCCTTCAAAAAGTAGTTGGGACTACTTGAATATTTTTTCTTAACCTGTTTGTTTATGGGGATCCCAAAAAGTTTATTTGGGGGAGTTTCCCCCATCTTCTTAGTTCACTTACATTTTTACCTACCATTAGTAGCCTAGAGGATAAGCAAGAAATAACCTCTTATACCACACAGCCTGTGGCTCTTCCCTCCAGATGAAGATATTTTTTTGTTTTAATGACTCATTGGTGCCCTGAGCACACTGGAGCAGTCTATAAGGCCCCTATCTGGGATGAACTTTCATTTTTTCCTGTTTACTTACTGTGTGCTTTCATGTAGACTGTTGGTTTGAAACCTCTTTATAATTGGGCCTCTCAGTACTGCCTTCTCTGCAGTCCCTTGCTGTTGTCTCTTCTGTCCTTGCTATCATCATCTTGCCTCCGCTCTTGCCAGTGTGAGGCTCAAGGTGAGCACAACAGCAGAGCCTGTCGTGATAAACTGCAAGCTCAGCTTTGGGGCTGAGCTGGATAGTCTAGAATCCTAGAATGGTTAGGGTTGGAAAAGACCTTAAGATCATCTGGTTCCAACCCCCCTGCCATAGGCAGGGATGCCTCACCCTAGACCATGTCACCCAAGGCTTTATCCAACATGGCCTTGAACACTGCCAGGGATGGAACATTTACCACTTCTTTGGGCAACTTATTCCAGTGCCTCACCACCCTCACAGTAAAGAACTTCTTCCTTATATCTAACCTGAACTTCCCCTGTTTTAGTTTGAACCCATTACCCCTTGTCCTATTGCTACAGTCCATAATGAAGAGTCCTTCTCCAACATCCTTGTAGCCTCCCTTCAGATATTGGAAGGCTGCTATCAGGTCTCTATGCAGCCTTCTTTTCTTCAGGCTGAACAGCCCAAACTTTCTCAGCCTATCTTCATATGGGAGGTGCTCCAGTCCCCTTATCGTCCTTGTGGCACTCCTCTAGACTTGGTCCAACAGTTCCATGTCCTTCTTACGTGGAGGACACCAGAACTGCACAGAGTACTCCATGTGGGGTCTCACAAGAGGAGAGTAGAGGGGCAGGATCACCACTGTTCGCAGCCAGGGGTCCCTGCTTTAGGCTGCTGGGTTTCTTTGGCCAGGACATTGGTAATTGCATTGTGAGTTGACGATACAGACATTGGTAGTTGCATTGGGAGTTGATGATGCAGAAATTGATGTTGCTTGGCTGGTAACTATTTTTTTTAGTTCTGAGCCAGCTTGTGGTGTGGACAATAGGTGACTGGTCTTCAGGAAACACTGTATGGGCTTCCCCATCTGTTCTGCTCCCAGTTTCTATTCAGATGCCATGGACCATTAGGGGTGATTTTGTTTTTTTAAGGTATCCATGTTTGTACTTTGGCTGGCCTGGCCAGATGATGGATGCAATTTTGTGACAGCAGAACTTGAAGGTGGAATGATGCCTTTCATAGTGGAGTAACTTTTGGATTTGCACAAGATCTGTGTAACTATTGAATTGGTGTGTTCTTCACAGGAGGTCCTTGACTCTAGCAGCCTGCTGGCCTTTTGGCCTTGCAGTAGGCTTTCTTTGTTCAGGTTTTTCCCTGGTAAGCAATCTGGTTGTTCTGGGTTGTTTCTTTTGGATTTACTTTTTTTTGGATATTAATTGAATTTAGTTGCTTTCATAGAATCATAGAATAGTTAGGGTTGGAAAGGACCTTAAGATCATCTAGTTCCAAACCCCCTGCCATGGGCAGGGACACCTCACACTAAACCATGTCACCCAAGGCTCTGTGCAACCTGGCCTTGAACACCACCAGGGATGAAGCATTCACAACTTCCCTGGCAGCCTATTCCAGTGCCTCACCACCCTTACAGTAAACAACTTCCTCCTTATATCCAATCTAAACTTCCCCTGTTTAAGTTTTAACCCGTTACCCCTTTCCTATGTTTGATTGTTTTACACAAATGGTGCTTGCAGTGCTAAGTTCATCCTGAGATTTGAAATCTGTATCTCATAAATCTTTTGGAAGTAATCCAGATATTGTATGTTGGTTTTGATTTTATCTCGGGTATTTTGGATCATCTTGCTCATTTGTATTATATTGCATATTCACTGAAAAGAGAACAGAATACACAAAGGACACCTTTGCAAGCAGTTTTTTAAATTGGGAATTGGGATCAGAATCATTTTTAAAGCATGAGATATATACATTTTATATATATATTTTTTTTTAATCAAAACTATTTTAGCTGATATGGCCTGTAAAGCATTCATGTAGATGATAAATGAAGTTGGCTGAAAGGAAGTTGACAGGTATGGGTAACTGTGTAACTAAACTAACTAGTGATAGACATACATTTTACTTACTACTTCCTCTGCTCAGTTTCCTGTGTTCATTCAGGGTAAAAAGTTGTCTCCTCTGCTACCAGAGTAATCCCAAATGGGACAGATGGGGATTAGACCCCTTTTTGCTGGTCCAAAACAGAAACTGGGAGGTGCCAAATTCCATTTGTCTGAAAGTCTTCCCTGTTAATTTATGTCTCTTGCAATCAGTGAAGTTGGAGAAAATGTTTTTGATTTTCTGGGAAGTTTCCAAGGAAAAAATTTTGGATGTTACATTTAAAAACCAGTAGCGAACTTTATTTGCATATGTACTCATTTTTGTGCAATTTCTGTTTCCTCTATGCAAATGTAGCCATTTTTAGAGCAACTCATTTAGAGCCTTCTTGATCCTCTGGAAGTTCAAATAATTCAAACTAGTAGCAGTTCTTTAACTATAGCACTAACTCCTTAAAGCAAGAACATAATCAATGTGGTGAGCTTTTTCCAGTTTTACAGCTTTCAACAGGATGGTGTTCAGTGTGAAGTTTGTTTTTATACTATATATTCTATTTATAACATTTAATAGTACATGAACAAGGCTGCTTTGGTCTTGATTACATAAAGGAATAAAATTGTTAGTGGCATGCTAACTTTTTTTATACTTTCTACACTTGATTTCTGTGAATATTTCTGTTTTCTGCAAGTAAGTACAAGCTTAAGGTTTACATTTTGGACTGATGCCATGCTCTTGTATCACTAGAATGAAGCTTTTTTTTTTCCTAATATGATGAGTTACGTTAGCATGAAGTTCATGTAGTTACAAAAAAAAAAAAAAAAGGAGTTCCTGCTTTAAATCCGTGCACCATGAGCAGCAGGGGAACCGTAGCACTGGGGAAGGGAGGGGAAAGCATGGGAGCATTCTCTGTCACTGTGAGGAAATGATGCAAAAGGAAGAATATTTATTTTGTACATAGCATGTTGGAGATCTCATTATAGAAAGTTTAAGACATGTAGCATTACCCACATGCCTAGTGTTGAGAACTGTAGCTTTTCTTTCTCTAAACAAGTATCTCAAGAATTGAATCAATACCTTCAGGTTTGACTATGAAATTGTCTAGAAGTAAAGTACAATGATTTATCACATTTGTTTTTAGCTGTAGAAAATACAAAGCCACCATTTCTTTTCTATTCATTGCATTCATTTTCTTCTAGGATGTAGCAGTTCTGTGTATTGCCTAAATACCAGACCATTTCAGATGATCAGTGTCTTAGTTTGATCTTGAAAGGCTTAGTATGTAATAAGAAGCACCAAATTGTAGTGTATCTCTAATATGCTTGTCTAATTCAGTGCTGTGTAACTTGAAAACCCCTTCTTAGCTTTTTCTACTTTTGTCACTAATTAACATTTAGGTGTTTTGTGATAATTTCTCAAGTTCTTCTGCAATATGAAGTTCATGTCTACTTAGAGAAAATAATCGCCAATTTACTTATACAGTGCATATAAATTAACCAACTCTTTTGTTCTGTCTATACTTATATGCAGTCAAGAAACCAATTTATTCATGTTTTTCCCTGTAAGGCACCATAGCTTGTAAGCAAGGAGAAAAATATTTTCAGCTGTGCATATGATATCAAGACCTCCAAGAAAATTCTGTTTTTAATAGGGTTATTGCATTTTGACACATACAGTGTGAAACTGAGAGAAGTATAAAGTAGTTTAGATGCAAAGTTATCAGCTTAGAGTACTTTAATAAGGGATGCTGAAACATGTATGGAAATTTCTGCTGGGGTTTGTATGTTTATCATGTTTTAAAAAGTGGGAATAATAAAGAATATTTGTTCTAGATCTCAGAAGCAGAACCATCTGCAGCAATGACTTCCTGAAAAACTTGTCTTTTGTTTTAGTGGGTGTGAGACCATGATCTCTATAGAATCATAGAATGGTTAGGGTTGCAAAGGACCTTAAGATCATCTAATTCCAACCCCCCTGCCATGGGCAGGGATGCCTCACCCTAGACCATGTCTATATGTTGTTTTGTCCTGCTGTGTCTTGCCTGCTTCTTTATCTGTGGAATTTTTGTGTTATACGTATGTGTCAAAACACATTATGAGAATGAATTGATATCTTGTTTGTTCAGACAGATGGAAATAATAAATTTTGTCAGAAAATATTTATTCCCCTAATATTTTGACAATATAAATACAGGTTTTGTATCTAAAATATAATAGCTAAATTAACATTTTTTTGGTTGAATTAAAGGGCTCCTTCCTGTTATATCTAGTTTCTTTTAAGTGTTATGGGGGAAAAAATGTTATGAATTACTGTTTGATATTAGCCTTGTGTGTTGCAGTTGCTGCAGTAAGGAGAAGATGTCCTTATTTGATCAGATCAAGTTATGTGTATGTGTAGGAGAAGGAGAGAGTGGTCTAATGTGTGACTTGCAGCTAGGACTAGATACACTGATTGAACAAATTGTGTTTCTTTACATTATACTTCTGGTAAATCCTGACATTGTTAATCAGTGTCTTTTGCAGTCTGAAGAAATAGAATGTTCCTCAAAGCAAGTAATGCTGTAGGAAGCTACTTGTTCAGGACACTAGTATGGGGTTTCCCACCCAAACCTAGCTGATGGGTTAAGAGGTAACGAGGTCAATGCAGTTCTAAGTCTGTCACAGAAGAAAGGAAGATGATGGTGATGGGATTGAATAACAAGGTATATATTCGTAGTACATTTAAAAAAAGAAGTCACATGTCTTTATATAAACACACACATATATTTATACACGTGTAGATAAGCCCCTAGGATAACTGTGACCACTGTATGGATATCTGTCTTCAACCTGTAAAGATGATTATGAGATGTCAAGCCCTGTCCAGTTAAGAGCTGTTTTTGGCAAAGGGGAAGGGCTTAAACATATTTATGCCCTTTTCTAGAAGCTCCAGTTCTCCAGCCTGGCCCTGAATGTCTTCTGCTGCAAACTGACCCTTTCTCACTGCTAAGGCTCTGTTCGCCTTCCTACAAATGCCTTCAGGAAAGCACTGTTGGCTCTTAAGCTGCACCTTCGGTTTGCTAGTAGGAGCAGGGCAGTATTTCCTTCCTACTTTTATGTCTGAGTGAGAGTGTTATTTAGACCAATCTGTTAGGCAGGTCTGCCTCATGTAATACCTTGCATATATGATAGATGCAAAAAAAATTGAGGATCTGTCTCTGTTGATTTATTAAATTATTTAAATGGATGCAAGCATTGGATTTATGTGGTAAATTATGGTGCATGAAAAAGGTTTAATTGACTTTATTCTTAAATTATTTAAAAAGGATGAGTTTAGAAAATGTGATTAGCTCCCTCTGCGCTCTGCATTAATAGCCTTCCACTGTTCTGAACTGTATAAGGGTTGCAATGGGGCTTAGCGTCAAGTTTGACAGTCTAGAATGGGAAGATTAATAAAATATTCAGCAGGTTGAGTTTAATAGGATGACACTAACTTGTAACTGCCTTTTCGACTGTCAGCACAGCTCTCCCTCCCTTTTGGTCTTGTGTGTTGTTGACATTGTATTCCTTGAAGTATACCAGGAAACCACAGGAGTTAGTCTTAAACCTTCTCATTGTTCCATAACATCTTAAACTCCCCCCCCCCCCCCCCCCCGGAAATGACCTAGAGGCCTTACAAATACATTTGTGCATTTTTGTTCTGAATTCCCAATTTGAGGGCAAATGCAGTCTGGAAGCACCACTTCTTAATGTTACAATGGAAACAACTACCTCAACAAACAAGGATAGGGGAAGAAGGCTTGCAATAATACTCTTAATTTTTAATAGGTTACACTTGCAAAGTCTTCTGTAAAGAGTCCAGATATTTTTTTTTTTTCCCCTCCAGTATTAAGAAGAGACACTACAACTAATTTGGCAGACTGGATCTGTCAAGACATTTGAAGATATTTGATCTGCTGACATAAGGATTTGCTTTTTCAAGGAAGGAGCCTCTGCACTTCTTTTAGAATTGTTGTTGATCGGTGGTTTGCTCCACTTTTCCTGATATTACTAATGGGAAAATTGTATTAAGTTATTGCTTCTGAAACTATTATTTACATTGACAAAAATAACTTTGTAGACTTAACAGCAAGTGATGACAATATGAAGAAATTGTAGGTGGTGACTTCTCTGCTCCAACATCACTTTTCTGTGCACAGAATGGAATACTAAACAAGAGACAGTGCATTATTAAGATACTTTGGCTTGCTTTTTGACTACAGTTTATAACTGCAACAGGGCTGCACTGAACATTGAAAATATGAAGTCAGCAAATCTGCTGCCTTTCTCACTGCTGATAGAGATTATACAGATGCTTGCCTTTTTGAAATGCCTTTTGTGAAACTGATGTACACAGCCCTCCACTGTTACTGTACATAACTATATAGTTGAGGAAGGAATTTGACAAGTGGTTGTTAATTTAAGAAATTTTTGGACAAGCACTCACTTATGTATTGCTGTAGTACACAAGAAAGCAAAATGGACTATAAGCGGCGCTTCTTGCTTGTCGGGTCCAAGCAAAAAGTACAGCAACAGCAGCAGTATCAAATGCCTGAGCTAGGCAGGACCCTGAGTGCACCACTGGCATCTACATCCCCAGCATCCCCTTTGGTGTCCTCAGCTGCTGCAGGCAGCTGCAGCCACACTGTGTCCCATATGACTCCGATTGCAGACATCCAGCAGGGAATCTCCAAATATCTGGATGCACTCAATGTGTTTTGCCACACAAGCACTTTCCTCACAGACCTTTTCAGCAGTGTATTTAAGAACTCACAGTATTCTAAGGCAGCTATGAAACTGAAAGATGTGCAGGAACATGTCATGGAAGCAGCGAGTCAACTCACGGCAACAATAAAACCAGAAATAGCAAAAATGCTGATGGAACTGAGTGCAGGAGCTGCAAACTTTAAAGATCAGAAAGAGTTCAGCCTACAGGACATTGAGGTAAGTTACCTTGGGGGATACTGTTTTGCATGTGAATTTGTATCATTCCTTCTTAGTTGGACATCTCTTTGAAATCACTTCTACACCAAAAGTTCCTTCTGCTTTGCTTTGTATTTGTGGACTTTGCTGGTAAAAAGAGAAGCTCTACTACTTTCAAGAAAACATAAGAAATTAAAGTCATTTGCAGTGCCTGACTTCTGGCTATGCTGAATTAAGTATTTAATAGGTATTTCTGTATAAGAACTTGTACTCAAAGATTTCATGAAATAAGAAAGATGAGGTACAATTAGATTGTGCCATCTATAAAATTCTAAATGGTAATCTTCTATATTATTTAAACTTAAAACCAGCAATGCAACAACCTCTTTCTTCTTGGGAAAAACCATGCTTAGTTTAAAAATAATAATGCAAAACAAGAATAATAAACCCCAAACAACTAACCCAGCACCCTGCCCCTCCAAACCAGCTAGATAGAAGTTTTAAACAGTTTTCTGTTTTGTTAGCTAATATTTCTAACTATTAAGCCATCATATTCTAAATTAATCTATATATTCTTATAGTATTATCCGTTCTGAGAGGAAACCTGAACACTGGGGAGTGGCGTATTGTCATCAGTGTTTGTGTAAAACCACGTATTACTTAATGATTGAAATTGGTGTGAAATAATATTTTATCCCTCTTTGAAGCATTTTTGTCTTTGAGCTGTTGTGCTTAAAAGGGAAATACCATGCTAGACTGAGAAATTTGTATTGTAAAAATTTGTTGTGACTTTGCTATAATTTCCATATGCTGGCAGCGAGTGCCCAACAGCCAGAATTCAGAGGGTTTGAAGTTAAAAGAGAATCTCATTATGCTTGGCTGGGTATTTCTCCTGTAGTAAATGTCTTAATTATGTAATAAGCAATGTTAAATAACAGCCACAGATGAATCCCTGGTGTTTTCAGTAGTTCTTTGTGTTTTGAGGTATTTCTTTACAGCAGTCTTTGCAGAGTTATTCCTACAGAAATTCATCCTGGGTGGAAAACTGATTTTTGAGTTCTCTTATTTTTGATGTAGACTTCAGGTAACTTCGTAAGGATAAATGTTATACACACAGCATATATCTGCTTTCTATAACTGCATAACTTATAGATGAAGTAGTGTCATGGTTTAAGCCCAGCCGGTAACTCAAAACCATGCAGCTGCTCACTCCCCCCCCCCCCCCCCCCTTTTCCTCCCCCCCACTCCTGGAGGGATGGGGAGGAGAATCAAAAGAATGTAACTCCCATGGGTTGAGATAAGAACAGTCCAGTAACTAAGGTATAATACAAAACCACTACTACTACCACCAATAATAATAATGATAAGGTAAATAACAAGGGGAGAGAATACAATTGCCAGCCCAACCCGAGCAGTGATCTGGGCCTTCCAGGTAACTGCCCCCAGTTTAAATACTGGTCATGACGTGCTGTGGTGTGGAATATCCCTTTGGCTAGTTTGGGTCAGGTGTCCTGTCTCTGCTTCCTCCTGTCTTCCCATGCCCCTCCTCACTGGCAGAGCATGAGACTGAAAAGTCCTTGATCAGTGTAAACATTACTTAGCAACAACTAAAAACATCGGTGTGTTATCCACATTGTTCTTGGACTATAGTTGAAAACACAGCACTGCACCAGCTACCAAGAAGGCAGAAAATTACTGTTACAGCTGAACCCAGGACAAGTAGTTAACTAGAATGCCATTTGTAGTACATAATTGTAGTGAGAAATATGACTGACAGTTTAAAGTGTTGTATACTTAGCCAGTCTTAATTCACTCTATACTATACATTTGTTATAAATGTCTTCTGCAGACTGGTATTTTTGAAGACAATCTAAGAACATCACTATGTTTAGCTATACTATGTATGTACTGCTTTTCTAACAGTCAAGCAATTCTAGGTGTTAATTCAGACCCTGCCCCACACGCTGTGTGGAGAGAGTGCTTCTTCAGCAGGGAGTGGAGTTCACCAGCAAAAGCAAAGCATTTGTCGTGGTTTAAACCCAGTCAGGCAACTTGTTCACTCACTCCCAGTGAGTGGTGCTGGGCTGACAACAATCGCGGGCCCCCCCCCCCCCCCCCCCACCGGGGTTCTCCCCTTCCCCGCTTCCGGAGGAACAGGGAGGAGGATCAAAAGGGTGCAACTCCTACAGGTTGAGACAAGAACAGTCCAGCAACCAATGTACAACACAAATCACCACCGCTACTACCAACGACAACAATGATAAGAGAAAATAACAAGGGAAGAGAATACGATACCACCGGCCAAGAAACGAGTCCCACCCGGAAGCCCGTGTCCTTCCGGGTAACTCACAGTTACCCCCCACCCCGGGCATGACGTGCTGTGGTATGGAATACCTCCTTGGCTAGCCTGGGTCAGGCGCCCTGTCTCTGCTTCCTCACAGCTTCCCCTCCTCCCTGGCAGAGCATGAGCCTCACAAAGTCCTTGGTCAGGGTAAACATCACATAGCAACAACCGAAAACATCGGTTTCACCAACATTGTTCCCAGGCTGGAAGTCAAAACACAGCACTGCGTCAGCTACTACAAAGGAGAAACATGACTGCTACTGCTGAACCCAGGTTGCGTGTCCTCCCAGCTTAAAGCAAAGGTGGAGAAATTTGTTTTGGTCTCTGCTTTGCCTGTATAGATCCAACCCATGTTCCTGAGCTCCATGTGTGTCTGATATGCTCTCCTCAACAGGTGGCTCTGTGGTAGGAACAGATGTAAAAAGAATACAGGCAAAACCATCTAGATTCCTTGGTTTTGGTTTTAGGCATATCTTGTGGAAATTGATCATTTGTCATTGTACTTTTACCATGGAATCACAGAGTGATTTGGGTTGGAAGGGACCTTAAAGCTCATCTAATTCCAATCCCCTGCTACAGGCGGGACACCTTCCACTAGACCAGGTTGCTCAAAGCCCTGTCCAAGCTGGCCTTGAACACTGCCAGGGATGGGGCAGACACAGCTTCTCTGGGCAACCTGTGCCAGTGTCTCACCACCCGCACAGGAAAGAACTTCCTGATATCTAATGTAAATCTCCCCTCTGTCAGCTTAAAGCCACTGCCCCTTGAACTATCCCTATGTGCCCTTGTTAAAAAGTTCCTCTCCAGCATTCTTGTAAGCCTCCTTTAGGTATTGGAGAGCTCTGCATCTTGCATATAGCTTTTTTTTTAGAAAAAAAAGTTAATATTTATGGGAACTTTTGTGTAATGAGACAAACATTGTGTTCTGCTTTTGCTTGAGAACCAGCAAAATTTAAGGTTTTGATACTTACTCAAATGTTTGTTTTGTAAATCATCCAGGGAGAATGGTTTTGATGACTTAAGTATATGGGCAAGCTAGTTGGTTGATTGTGCCTAGGAAGCAGTTATCACTTGCTCACTGTCAAAATGGACCTTGGCAGGTCAGTATAGAGAATATATTTAAGTTTGTAGGTGACATGGAAAGTATATGATACAAGTATGCTGGAAGATCTGCTGAATTAAAAATTATCTTGAATTGAATAAACAAGTTTTTTGTTTGGGATAGAACTCAGAGGGGAAAACATAATGTTACAATGTTTAAATAGACATTTTCAGCCTCAGAAGTGGAGCTTGCTGGGCAACAGATCTGAAGAACTGTTCTATGGCTTATGGTAGTCATATGTTGAGTAGGAGTCAGTGTTGTATGATTGCAAATAATAAATCAGTGTTGTTGTGTTGTGGTTTAAGCCCAGTCAGCCATGCAGCCACTCGCTCACTCCCCTTCCTACCCCCCGCTTCCGGAAGGTTGGGGAGGAGAATTGAAAGAATGTAACTCCCATGGGTTGAGATAAGAACAGTCCAGTAACTAAGGTATAACACAATACCACTACTGCTACCACCAATAATAATAATAATGATAAGGGAGAAAACAAGGGAAGAGAATACAACCACTCACCACCTGCAACTGATACCCAGCCCGACCCGAGCAGTGATCTAACCCTTCCGGGTAACTGTCCCCAGTTTATATACTGGTGTCGTGGTTTAAACCCTAGCCAGACAGCTTGTTCACTCACTCCCAGTGAGTGGTGCTGGGCTGAGAGCAATTGAGGCACACCCTGGTGGTGTTCAAGGCCAGGTTGCACAGAGCCTTGGGTGACATGGTTTAGTGTGAGGTGTCCCTGCCCATAGCAGGAGGTTGGAACTAGATGATCTTAAGGTCCTTTCCAACCCTAACTATTCTATGATTCTATGTCCACGTAAGGTGGAGCAAGAAGTAAGGAATTTAAATTTCCGAAGGCAAGATTAATATTAGATGCAGTAGAAATATTTGTAGTGTTAGTGAAGTGCTGATGTGGATTGGTACAAAGGGTAGGGAGCCTACATAGTGCAGAACTTACAGAACAGGTTAAACCTGCATCTAGCAAAACTAGCCCAGATGAAATTGCTCCTTGCTTGGGACAGTAGGGTGACCTTTGAGAGGCTCTCCTACTTTGCATTTCTGTGATTTGAAGACTGAGCTATTCATGCTGAAATTCTTAATAAAGGCACAGTTGTTTTTTGTTGTTTTTTTTTTTCCATATCTATAGAAAAGTTAACATTTCTTAAAACTGTCACCAGGATTAAAAAATTCACAGTGGAAACAGGAAAAATATGAAGGGCTTCCATGACTTTATCAGAGATCACTGACCAGGGAAACCGAGGGGAAAAGAGTGTGAGAAGCAGTGTAATTGTCCCCTTATAAAATATATGGGGAAAATACAGTAGCTTTGGTAGTGATGACTGAAAGAACTTATAACTCTGAGAAAGAATTGAGTGAGGGCTGAATGTCTGAGTGGCAGCTCACCATTATCCTATGAAGAGGTGTGGTTTAAAACCAGTCAGGCAGCTCGTTCATTCACTCCCCCCCTTCTTGTCCTCCCCCTACTCCCAGAGGGGAGAATCAAAAAGAATGCAACTCCCACACGTTGAGATAAGAACAGTTTAGTAACTAAGGTATAGCACAAATCACTACTGCTGC